CAATCCTCTACGTTCGCCAATAATCCCGAAAAAGGGTCAACCTTTCCCTCCAACCTACACATACGTACCGAGTAGACGCCGAACACCGTGGTGTAGGCGAACTGGAAAAGGCTGGCCGCCAGCGCAGAAAGCACATTTTGCCGCTGGTTCAGTCGCTCGATCAGGTGGTGCAGGTGCGCGATGCGAAGAAGAGCGGCACGCAGAAGTTACACCTGCTGCGGCGGCATGCAGGTGGCCAGGATAGGTACCATGCAGGCGCGGAAGGTGAACTCCTCAGAGAACGGCGCCACCACGTGGTTTGCGCACCCACACCAGGTTGCGCAGGCTTTGCCACCAGTACATGGGCTCGAGTAGAGGTTCCAGTGGCCGACGTGGTACTGCTGCAGCAGAGGGCCGAGGAAGAGCAGCGCCGTCAGCAGGTAGGGCAGCACCAGCGCCGGCAGCAGGCCGCCCCAGCGCAGCCCATCGCCTCCAGAGCGAGTGGCGCGCCAGCGGGGCCGGCGCGGCCGGCGCCGGACGTCAGGTACCAGGTGCGGGAACACGGGCGACACCCAGCGACACGAGCAGCACGCTGACGAAGCGGCGTCGTCGATGGTGGACGGGGTGGTCGCGCGACAGGCCCGACCGCCACACGTACAGGCTGCCCACGTACAGCAGGCCGAGGCGAGCAGCAGAGCAGCACCGGCGCCAGGCAGCCGCCAGCCCGGGCACCAGTCGGCCGTGCAGCCGGCCAGCTCCGGGCCGTCCATGGCCGCGCCTGCGCCTGCGCACACGGGAGACGCTCAGTCAGCTATCGCACAGGTCACAGGTCACCAGGCACGGGTCGCCCGCGGGTCGAGGAGGATCGGGTGACTGGACGGTCAGAGGGGGAATTCGGTGAGTGTACAAGCCGATGGGCGGTCAGTGGCCTGACAGGTCGGTCGAAGGTCGCTTAGTTGGCAGGTCTGCTCACAGAACCGTGAAAAGACCCCCACTATAGTAAACAAAAGATAACTTCGTTAGTCTTATGCACGACAAGTACCATATATGAGTCACTGTGACTGTTTTCACGTGCCAGTAAAGGGGCTTTCTGCGCCATAACAAAGCATGAAGCCGGCTTCTTCGGCGGGCAGCACCCATGGGTGTCAATTCTTGTAACTTAACGGGGGCCGAACCGAAGGCTCGACAACCTACCCATTTTTCTTACCTGATTAAGCCCACTTTACTTTGATTAAAAACACGGTTTTTAATTTTTCATAATTTAAAAAAGTTTTAATTTAAGCAGTATAGGAGTCACGCAAGGGTGGATCCAGGGAGCAGGCACCGGACGGCATGCGTCCCTTCTGTCGGCGCGTGAACGCACCCTTTAGAGGCCACCTTAGGGCGCCGATGGCGCTCTTCTATGACGGTCGTGGGAGGCGGACCGTATTAGGTTTTGGCGACGGGACGGGGTTAGCCGTGAAGGACTTAGGTAATCCCATATTCCAGAGCTTTTCACCTCAACCTCACGACCTATTGGCTGACTTATGGCGCTAACGTATGGCGAAGTTCATTGCAAAAACCGTTTATCCGCTCAGCTGTTGTGATTTTTATTTCATGGTGAGAGTAACCATGACTTTGTTGAGCGGTACGAGACGCCACTGCGCAAAAACATCAAACAAGACATTCTGCTTGTAATCGTCTTTTAACCACGCTTTCGCAGCATTCCAGCCAAAAACATCGGGGGGGGGGGGGGGCAAGCCAACATGGGGGGGGGGACAACCCCACATGGGGGAGGGGGCAGGGCCCTCACAAAGATAGAAATCGACACAAATGGCAGCACCTGAATCCGGCAAAGCGCATTCACCGACTCCTACGTCCCTCTTTCGCGCCCAGCCAGGCGAACACAAGCAGCTGTAGTGCGCACAAACTCACTCGCAGCTCGGGCTACCCGCGTCGAAAACTCCGATCACAGACAACGCAATCGGTCCGAGGGAACGGCACAGCAACAGGGAGCGCGTCCGTGCTGCCGAGCGGCGTCCTTCCCTGAGGCCCACGTGTGGCACACTGTCCGGCCGATGGGGCGGGCTATCTCCGGAGCCGGTTGCGACAGCGGGTCTCGTACTGGGGGACAGGCGTTTACCGCGGCTGGACAAATGATCAACACGTCGGCGGGTCGGGATAAAACGGCGTGACTAAGGCGGCGCACCCGCGGCGACCGGGCACGGACACGTCGAAGATTGACGGAACGCGACGAAATAAAAACAAACAGGGTAGGCAGCAGAGAAGCGCCACGCAATGTGTGGCACGATGAGTGTCAACGGAATGCTCTGGCCGTACAGGGACATCTCAGCAGATATATGGAATGTTTGCATCGCACCGGCCAACTCAAGCCGTATTTCACGAATCCCAGCCTTAAACCCAACCTGTTTTCTTTCCCACCCTGTCCTTGTTTCCGTCCCCTTCCGTCATTGCCCGCGCACATCTCCATCTCCGTCCTCTTCTGTCTCAATCAACTGCCGGCTGAAGCGATGTCTGCTTTTTACCTTCTAGTCGGTTGCGATATCTTTCATCTTTTCAGCCTGTTTTGTGAGTGAACTTTGCTCAACCCGAATTTGGGTTCCCAATTTCGCTTAAACCATTTTGCGCGACGTGATCTGAGCCAGAGGCATGCGCCATACACAAATTCAGTTCACATCTCATTCACCGGTAAGGGCCTTACACTGAAGGGGCCTAGTGACTCCGGATAATGGTTCGCGCTCGTACGGCCACAATGCCAACGTGCCCAGTCACATTTCACAGCATTGTACGTAGTTTCTGCGCCCTTGAACCCCTGCCGACTCCATTCTTCCCAAGCATTCCAACACATTATCTGCGACGGCACAGCATCGCGCTTGCTCAATAGTTGTTCAAATTTCAAGGAGGGAAGGGGGGGGGGCAATCTGACCACTAAAAATCCCGGTTGGAATAACTTCGGACTATCGCCCTCACATAATGTTAGCATGTGCAAAACATTTTGGGCCAGTAAATTCTTCGGCCGTCAAGTGTTATAGAGTATTTGAAGGGACTGCATAATGCTTTTTGGCTTTCAAAAATGTACGCCACACAACCCAGTCTCTGCTTGGGATTGCTGGGGTTCGTATCACGTCTTCTGATTGCGAGCCCAGTGCCCTAGCAACTGATGTAATCAGCAAGAACATTTCACAGCACTTCAGGGATATTTTGTCCATCCCATCCAGCTTAACGTGTAGAGCACTGGGCTCGCAATCCGAAGACCATGGTTTGAATCTCAGCTATTTAAAGGGGAGAGATTCAGGATGTGGAACGTACATGGCTAAAAGTCAAACATCATCCCAGTGTAGAGCACTGGGCTCGCAACCCGAAGACCATGGTTCGAATCTCAGCTATTCAAAGGAGAGAATTCAGGATGTGGAACGTACATGGCTGAAAGTCAAACATCATCCCGTCCCGAGGACTCCATAGCGCCTGACAACAACCGGAGAGTTGACTCGTCAAAAACGTGTACATACTGATACACCAAATGGGAGAGATAGTCGGAACAATTAGTACGTCTGCGATGCTATTACCTCACATCAATCCTCCCATTACCTGTACTCGAAAACCCTTCACAAACGTGTCACGTTATAAGCCGGTCTGGAATATGTCCACTTAAGGAAAAAATTGTCTCCAAAAACGACGACGCAGTGCCGAGCCAATTCTAACGGCCATCTCACCTCCCACACTTCGTTATTTAATTGTGTGATTGATCTCTCAAAGGAAGGCATGTCTCCATTAAAACTCCAACATTTGTTGGAACCCGCTCTGCCCGGTGGCCCAGACCAGCGTGACGGCAGGCCGACATCCGTCCAACATCCGGGGAGGAAGTCCGACACGGGGAGGCGGGTCTCCAGGGCAATTTCATTCGGGGGGAGGCGTTTGCTTAACACTCAATTTCCCAATGCTGCACCCGTGTAAGCCGCTCTGAAAGAACTGCACCCCCCTTACCACGACGGGGTTCCCACGGAGAACTATGCCAATTACGCTACATTGTCGGCCATGCAATCGTCGGACTCGCGCTTCCGTATGAGGGACACGTGATGAAGTGGTGGCGTCGACTGCTTTGGTATCCACACACCGGTGACAATGCGTGACCACGCCGTCCGCATGCAACTGCCGACCGCCTGAAGGCCGAGCCCAGTTCGGTGGGAGTGCGGCCCACTGGGGCCCCATTCCGCCTGAGAGCCGAGCCGAGTTCGGTGGGAGTGGGGACACTGGGGCCCATTCGGCCTGCGACGGGGAGCAGCTCGTCGCACGCAATGAATGCTAACAACCTGCTAAACACATTACTCGCTCAATGCGAACAAAGCGGCGCGCTGCGGCGTGGTGAGTGACATCTGCGGCGTTCCCACACAGGTGCGCGCCGGCCAGCGGACGGCCGTCGACGCGCTCGCGCTCAGGCTCGACACGCTTGCCAGTCCGCGACCACCACCGACACTCCGCAGTGAACCCTGGGAGGTGGCGACTGGGGACGAGCTCCGGTGACGACCCCCACCGGGTGGCCGGCTCCCCTGATCCCGAACTCCACCGGCTGACCGGGCAGTGTGGCGGCGACCCCTGGACGTCTCACGGCGCCAGCGCTGCACCGGCGAGGACGTCGGGTGCCGACAGCGGTCGAGGCTACGGTGGTGCGCTGGCCTCCGCCGACGCCGTGGCCCGCGGGCGGCGCAGCGAGTCCACCGGCAGTTGCCAACGCCGATACCGAGGACGACAGCAAGGCGACACCCGCCACCAGTCCACTGGCCACCGGTCTTGCCGCACAGACAAAAACAACATCGAGCCATTTCGTCGCATGAGGCGGCCTGCAATATCTCCAACCAGAGCAGCACACCCCATTCCTTCCGTCCCGATAAGCAGCACACGGCGTATTCGGCGCAAGCAGTAGCAGGCGGAGAGGCGCCAGCGGTGCGCATCGAGCCTCTCAGCGTCAGCCGCCCCCCCGGAAGCGCCGTGCCGTCCAGCCACCCCCGCCGCCGGCTACCGCGATGGACTCCAGCCCGCTGCGCACCGTCTTCTACGCGGCCATGCTCACCGGCTGCGCCGTCGTCTGCCTCCTGCAGTGCGTCACCCAGTTCAACCTGTACTGGAGTGAGCCGGCCGCTATGACCGTCACCATCCAGAAGGGCGAGAGGGTGCTGTTCCCGGCCTTCACCGTCTGCTCCTCGCGCAAGTTCAGCCGCAGTCGAGTCCAGGCCATGGGGCTGCTCAACAAGCGCGGCACCAACGTCGACTGGAACCGCTTCCCGGCCAACGAGTCGGTGGAGGCGTTCTGGCTGGAGGCCGGCACGCACCTGGATGAACTGATCAGCGGGTGCAACCGCGGAGCGTGCGGGGCTCCGGGGCCGGCCGGCGGCGAGGCCCCCGCCGGCCGCTGGACCCCGGTCATCGCCCGCAACGGTATGTGCTACACCTTCACGCCCAACACCACGCTGGTGGTGAAGAACGAAGAGAAGTTGGACATCACGTTCAACCTGTACATCAACGACTACTTCAAACAAATTTTCCTCGATATTTGTAGACGTATACTTCCATGGCAACGAGCCGCCAATCATGCAGTCGCGCTACTTCAACGTGGCCGACCACCCCAAGGTGAAGCTGTTCCCCGGCGACATCTCCAACGTGGACGTCACCGGCCGGAGCGCCGTCTTCAAGTCGCTGAAGCGTCGCCCCTGCCAGCCGCAGCGTGGCTACACCGAGACCAAGTGTACGGAGCGCTGCATGTGGCAGCACGAAACGGGCCAGGTGGGCTGCCGCGCGCCCTGGATGGCCGGCCTGACATCGGCGCCGCCTCTCTGCAGCACTCCCCGCGACCTGATGGACATGCAGAGTCCGCCGGCCGTCAAACGCGGCTCCGTCGCGTGCCCGCACTGCGAGCCCTCCTGCTGCACCGAGATGTACCAGGTGCAGGTGAGCTCTTCTCAGCACGCGGCCGGCATGGCCAACAGGGGCACCTGCAAGATGCTGGCGCGCTGGCCCTACCAGATGGAGCTCTCCACCGAGGAGTTGACCTACGGCCTGAGTGGGCTCATTTCGGACGTGGGCGGCAACATGAGCCTGCTGTTGGGCGTCTCCGTCATCAGCATAGTCCAGGCCAGCGAGATGCTGCTGAAGGTGATGCGACAGCGCCTCCAAGCTCTGCACATGGCCTGCCTAACCAGGGTAGCGCCGCCGTCGTGCCCGAAAAAGAAGCCGGCGTCCCCTACACGCGATGTGGCCGGCGTGCCGGTGACGCCGGCCGGCTGGCCAGCCCTGAAGACGTCGAAGGTGCCCGGCAGCGCGCGCTACCAGTCACCGGCCGCCTGAGATAGGTGCTGCACCGTCGTCAACGGCGCCCACTGGCGGGTTCCGCACCACGAGCGCGAGCAGAGACCTCGCTGCCGATCGAGCCGCGCCCTCAGTCAGAGGCTGCGCCAAGGCCCTCTCACATCACGCACCCCCGCCCAGCAATTCTCGCAAGCCAGGGCGTTAATGGCGTCAGAAGTCCTTGCTGTGATATGCCGTGTGCTATGCGGCGGTAGCCTGTTACGGTACACCTGCATGTAGAGCAGACGCACACAGAATTACAAAATGCATCCAAGAAGATCCCCCAGTGGTTCACTTTTTTAAACGGAGCAAACAAACTATTCCACAAAGTTTCCTTTGACCCCAAACAGACGCCACAGCGGAAATATTGTAACTTTCGCTGTTTTTTTTTTTACAGCTAACGCCGTCGGAGCACGAGCTAAAGTTCTACGGTACCTGATGGCACCATAATACGTGCACTATATTTATCATCCACAGTAACTTTCCACAGAGGTCCGTTTAAACTGAAAACTATGTATAATCAATATGGTACATACGACGCGGATAACTGCCGCCTGGCAAAAACAAATGCCAAGACAGTGACAGCTGACACAACTTTCCAGACATTTGGCACATCGACGATGCTTTTCTTGGTCCCAGTCTCTTTAACAGCGTTGCCATTCGCACACATTCTTATTATGCAATGTTTCACTAGCACCTGTTTTGAAAAATAAACTGATGGTGACAAGCAATATTTACCAACGCAGCGGATATGCCAGTGATGTCAAGGATACGTCGCCGCATGAGCTGCAGCCGGGGGAAATAAGGACTAATCGTAACTAGTAACACCTAGTTCCCTAGCACTTAGAGCCCCTGGCAAACAAACGATAAAATGAATCGACGCTGGCTGCAGCTTGCCGGTTTTCCGGTTGGCAGCTAGCCAATCCTGAACCAATGGCTTTTGTGATAAGTGAATATAAATAATCCATGCAGAATCCTTGATATAAACAATTAAGACGTACAGTTCCTGGTTTTTCAGTATTATGAGTTAACACATCTCGTGCTGAGTTACTGATCTCTAGTATACCAGGTGCCGGTGCCAAGTGTTAGTATATTCACTGATCGCTATTGGTATACTTTTCAGTAGAGAAGACTGCTCCTCAATAAGCCATTGTTTGATTGCGTCATCGCAAGTTGTACATTGATTGAGGGTAAATTGACAGCCGTTATATCTGAAAACCGAGCTCATGACCGCCAGATATGAACGACCCTGCACTTAAATCTGTAATGGTTTTCATTGCCGCATGGCCAATGGAATGGTACCATTTGAATGACGTCATTATGGCGTCACGAATGCCTACGTAACCCCGAAAAAGCCTGCACGACAAAGCATGCACATTTTCGCGGGTGTGTAGCCCAGAAACTACAGATTTAGGTCTTAAGGGCAGAGTTGTGGATTGTTCCGAACAATTCTCAAGACGGCTATTTCAGTTCAACATCCCAGACAAATGTGGAACACTCACTTCAATACAACCGGCGATGCCCTTTATACTGTTGAAAAGTAAGGAAGTCAAGCATGTTTATCAAATAATCCTCGAAGCATGTAAAAACAAAAACAAAAACACCTCAAAGCATGCGAGCACAAATGGACGGCCCGGGTGGTTATGTACGTTGGACGCACACGTGCCAAAATGGAGGGCCCGGATGGCAATGAACGCTGGACACACGCGTGCCAAAATGCGTTTAGGGCGACGAAATACATGCGCTACCGAGGCTTGCACTACACAATAATCACAAGAACTACAGTAGCAAAGGTCATACTGGGCAAGATGAGACAAACACGTAAATGTGTTATCGATACAATAATGCTCATGCCATCCTTCCTCATCAGTTTTGGTCAGGTGAGACTCTCGTGAAAAATACGCCGTGGAAGTCACAGATTTTAGGTGAATGTCACGACTGTGTTGGGCAAACTGATCTCATTAATCATGTCATAAAAGCAACCACTCAACGACAGAAAATATCCATTTGAACACTTTTCGAAGGTTGTGATCTCGGCCGAAACGATGCACGGAACTGTGGCACACATATGAGGGGTTTTACCGCGGGTTGAGCGAAAATGGACACAGACAGAGGTGGATACATCAGCAGCGCTCAGGGTGGCTGCGTAAGACTTGAGCATGTGTTGCTTTTTGTGGTGCTGCTATAAAGGATTGCTTCAGCTAAACGGTGATCGGGACACTGCTGTTGGTGGCCGATGAAATGCACATGTTTTGCAAAAATGATCTTGCTTTTGAAGGCCTCCGTTGTTTGAATGCTATATTTCATGCTTCGTGACGATGTTTGTTTTGTCCTTGATTTGCTTGAAAATTGCTTTGTGCTGCTAGCGATGGATATTGCATGACTGCACGCCGTGGCAGGCTAGATGCGAACGCACTCGGCATACCAACAGGATAAATACACACCGTTTGTTTGTTGTGTATGTTTTTGGATGCTTTTCTCGTTTTAAACACCCATGTCCTGCTGTGTGAGGCTTTTAATAAAAGCCAAACATGGAAAAACATATGTAGTCTATGACAGCGCTTTAACAGTACCTCTAGGCATACTGAAAGTTAAAAACTCAGCAAAGAGCTCGTTGATACTGATTTGGGTTTTAGGGCGCTACGACCGTTTGGCTATTGAACGCAATAATGAAGGGGATGTTCCTCGTTTGATCATATTGAGGCAAGAATCAGACACGATAAAATATGCTCACTTGTGACTATTGGTGTATTTGAAAGTACAAGCAACTGCTCTACACAACATAATTTCACCATTTAGTAAATATGCCCCTCAATATGTCATCAGTTGATTGCGCCACGGAACGTTTGCATAACGTCAAGTGGCTGCCAAACAAGCCGTGCGGAATTGCCACCCTAGCGCTCACTTCCAGTCCTTCAAACACGCCAAGAGATGGCAGCACGGTGTTGGAAGTGTTCGCTGAACCAGTTATCGTAAAAAGCTAATAACCATTTCCTACCGATAATGTCATCTCCTGCCGATAATGGCATCACCTACCGATAACGACATCCACCCTGCCTGTAGTGGACGTTAATCATCACCCATGCCTATCAAGGCGCACAAGAGCGTATCGACCCATTTCCAGACCTATTTCTGCCTAAGGCTGGCCGAACACTGGGCGCATGACAGCCCTTCAAAAATGCCTTGCATTTCTGGTCGCATTCCTGCCATTTATAAACAATATAGTTCAGTAAACACAACCTTCATTGTAGACAATTTACTGCACACAAAACGTTAAAGTCGGACCTCCATAGACCATCAGGTAATTAGACACCAGACAGAATAGCGCACGGCACACGCTGGGCACATGCCAGTTGGCGTCCCTTCCCTGTGCGGGGTCGTTCGCATTAATTTCATGACTGGGAAAGCTCCCGTAAATGTGCACCCGCCTTTGAGAACGACGTAAACGGACACCGTGCCACGTCCTTGCAGGCCATATGCCGCAGGATAAGCCAGTTCGATGAGGGACGAACGGGCACCTCGGACAAACCTCATCTGGAGGGGCTAAGGCGCGCGCAGGATTAGCGTCCAGCCCCAGAGAGAGCTGCCGTGTAAAACCATGGCGTTGGACTTCTTTGCAAGCTAAAAATGCTCAGGTGAGCCAAACTTCTGTTTAGCGCAATAGCTTGCAGCACATTGCCCGTCAAGGTGGCTCAGTTGGTTAGAGCGCCTGCCTTCCGATCCACCCACCCGTGGCAGGGTGGGTTCGAGTCATTTTAGGGTGCTCGCTATTTGCCCTTGACAGGTATGGCCTGCGGCCGGTGACAGCGGTCGCTCTAAAGGTCAGTTGACGTCAGAGGGCAGGCCGCGCCGAGCGTTGTGGCACGTTAGCTTTCGCCACTAAATTCTGCCGTTGCTCGGAACTGCGCGATCGGATGGTGGGGTTCAGGGCTCACGCAACAAGCACTGCATAGCGTGAGCGCTGATCCCAGAAATCCATCTATTCCAAGGGTTCGGATCAAATTTATAAAACAACAGGTACCATACTGATTCATAAACAAAATCACTGCAATCTCCTGTGCACAACGCATGGGATGAAAATAATATGTTATAGAAATGTCCAACATATTTTCCACACTCGAAAAACTTTGTTTTTCCGGAGCGAAATCATTCCAAGAAATGTGATTATGCAAAGTTGCCAAACCGTGAAACATGTGAACTACACGATATCAACTTATCACATGGCAAAAACACCTATGTGGAATTATCGCCAGCTTTCGCATGCACCCTCCAATGCAAAGTCACCTAACCCAATTTTTGGACCTCAGTGTGTAGATTTTGCACTCCTCTGAGCAGATGATCTCGGAGACCGGCGGTGTGGCATTCAAACCATCAGCAGTCGCCTCAGCGCCAGCATGGCCACAGTAATGATCATGAAAATTGAAATTTTGGGTGGCGAAGCAGCTTGAATACTAAGTGCGCTGCCAACTGGATGCCCCACTATCTCACACAAGATCACAAGGATACAAGTGAGGAGGACCCACCCACATGGGTGCTTGTTCGTCACCAAGTCAGGCTGGCAACCATTCCTGGAGTCCATAATCACTGTTGGTAAGGGGCCTGGGGCAATGAATGCCACCTTCCCATCATGGTTATCATCCTACGTCCAGGTTTGGGCGCAAGGGTCATGTGTACAGTTTTGACACAGATCCCATCCTCAGTATCAACTTCCTTGCCAGGAGGGACACCTTTAATCCCAAAATATGTGTGTTAATTCTGGAGATGATGCTGGCTGAGTGCACGAAACGACTGTACAAGCGAGGCGACACATTCGGGCTCGATCACGACAATCATTGACCCCGTACGTCGCACCAAACAGCTATTTCCTTGAGAAAATATGAAGCCTCAGTGAACAGTACCCACGTTTTTTGCCAGATCTAACATCATCAGCCTTTTCCTGTTCCCAAAGCTCAAGAGAACATTGTGTGGAAATCAATTTTTCCGTGCTAAGGAGATAGCGT